TGAAATTTCTTTGCTACAATATTTTTAAAATATTCGCACTCACTTTGCAGGAGGCTGCATAAAAGCGCTTCTTTCCAGCTAGTATCAAATAAACTGGTAGCTTTCAGCGCTTTTTGTTGACGCTTGAATGAAGCTAGCCTATTAGGGGTGGGACATCACTGCGGGATCTTACGGGAAAATTTGAAGTTGTTAAGCGGTGCAAATTGTTGTCTTCCTTTTAACTTAAAAGTCGCGGAAACAAGCCTGCGTTTGTACCAATACAAATAATCTATGTTCTTATTATTATTTTGATTAGATGTAGTGTAGCGAAGCGATTATCTCTGATATTACAATATTTACAATGTTCGGTAACTTCGGTAAAAGAAACAAAATGACTTACTTATAACTAAAAATAATCGTTTGCGACATGAAACAATCATGGTTTTATTAGATACAACCGTTTTATATTTTAAACTTTACTTTTATCATTATTAGTTGCCACTTTTTTATCTGTCAGTTTTAGACTATTCGAGAAGGTTATTAAATATTTTTGTCAGGCTGTATAATTTCTTTGATTTGTTTTCATAATCTATAGATATTTTTTCCGGGACTCATAATTTCTCTTCCCCTAAATCCCGGGAATTCCCACTATCAAGGCGCATCACTAGTCGTCTGGAGCAGGTCCCCGGGGGCGCGGCCCGGGGCAGCACTAATTTATTCATCGCTCATTCTGCCCTAACGGCCTGTGTTCGCCGGCTGCTAATAAAAAGTTACGGATACACCGCCCTCTAGACCTGAACACCGTAATTAGGGCTTTGTCAAAGGGACTAAATTACTGGGGCTTTTTTACTGTCACTCTCCTTTTTGGCTGTGGAGTTTTTTGTCTGACTATTTTGGCTGCCATTTCTTTTTCTTTTTATTTAAATTCCTTATTGGTATGGAGGCCTTTTTAGGGCCCTTGAATACGTTCCAAATATAGCTTGTCTTACCAATACTTCTAGAAAACATACTTTCATACTAAATCGCACATAATTTTATGTTTTTTAAGGTATTATCAATCTCAGAACCTCACTATACGCGATGCGAATGTTCGGGTTATCGCGATGAGGGTAGCCAAGTATTCGAGTCAATAGGTATTGCATTGCCTTTTTGTATAGTCGCAAGACTTCGCTCTGTTGTCGCCCAAATGTTGTAGCGATGTGTGTGGCTCAGGCATAACAGAATAAGCCGTAGATGACAGAGAGAAAACAATAACTGGCATCATACATTTTCCTTATGTCAATAGCAACTACTTTTCGTTGCCACCATTTATTATCCCTTAATAAAAAATGAATTGAACCCGGTCAACAAGAACCTTTTTGGACGTCTTTTGTTTCAATTTTCAAAAAATTATGTTTTATTCTTATTTCGATTACCTACCGCGAAAAGGAATATAATTTTAGGAGTCTAATGCAACGGGCATGTCTGTTTTACCATCAATCCCTAATTTTAAGTGACCCCTTTGAAAACAAAATTCCTATTAAGTGTTACTTAAAAATTAGGGATTGATAGTGAAAACGGGCATATTAAGTAGGTATACAGGGTGGACTCGATAAGTGATCTCACTCGATTATTTATAAACTATACAAGATATTGAAAAACTGGTTACTGATCCTGGAAGTGCTTCACGAGCTCTTTCAAGCAGTACCAATAATAGGTTACAAAATAAACTGGATATATTATCTAAAAATTTTATGTTTCAGTTGTTGATCACTTATCGTTTCCACCCTGTATATTTTTGTATAACCGTTTAGGAACTTTTAAAGTCAACATCAAGGAGGTTGCCGAGAGGATGAGCGATCTCCAAAGTTAGCAACTACAGGGTGTGGATAAATGAAGGGCATTACGCAAACTGCTACGCCGACGCGTTTCAGACGCGTTTCAGGGGCGTTTCAGGTTGTAACTTATGGGCTGTGTGTGAGGGTACTTGTGTTGTACAGTCAGCCGAAAATATTATGAACTTTAGACACCTAGCCAAGTCAAATCAAATCAAATAGTTTATTCAGTACATAGGCCCTTTCATACACGTCCCAAGTATAGCTTGCTCTACCACCACTTCGGAACATTTGGGCTGGTGCTGAGAAGAAGTGGTGGAAGAAACTCAGTTACCTTTGCCAGTCAGCCAGTCAAGTACCTACTAGGTGGACCGACGATCTGGTGAAGGTCGTGGGAAGTACCTGGATGAGGATAGCGCAGAACCGGTTGTTTTGAAAATCTTTTTTTTCTTCTTTTCGTTTGATCTTTGAATCATGTCGACTACTTACTTATGTATTTTCTATGACATTTGACAACATGTCAAAAGTCAACGACTCATATTAATTTAGGCAGGCCTGTTCATCTCCGCGAGTTTACATCGAAAACAAAACACGCACGATGGCCCACCTACAGGATACTATTCGACAAGGCCTCACATACGAGCGAACATTGACTCACGTACGCGTACTCTTGTGTATGATGGAAGAAAATAAAAAAATGGTGTACTAAATACTGTGCAGTATTTAACTAAATAATAATAAAAACACAAAATGTACTTTTTTAAGTTGCCTCAAGACACTGAGAGGTAAATAAGTAGTTAATATTATTCATGATAATTCATGCTAAATCATGTATTTCCTCCGCCATTTTCCGCAGTTTGGCACCTCACGTCACATCATTTTACCGAAGTCAGCCCTATAGCTTCGGCGCAGTACCGATCACTGACGTTTGTCAACAAAGTGGTGCTTGACTCTTGAGACAGGCTAAATTACACCATATTGTTAATGACATTGAGCATATATTTTTTTAAATAATTTCGCGAAGTAAAACTTCTGTACGTAGTACTTATTATTATTCTGTGGTTTAGGGTTTAGTGTGTGAAAAGATATCGAATAAAACCCACTTAATTAATAGCATGTCACCTAATGTAAAATAAATAATAATTGGGTATGCGCCAGAAACCAGAGTTAATATTTTCATTTAATTGCAAACACTGAAACTTTCAGGATAATGAACTCACTGGTTTTAATTAAAGTCTTCATTAATATAATTGAAGTTTGTTATTTCAAATTGTGCAAATCTAGCAAAATATTCATTTAAAAACCAACTGATAGTATGATGGCAAAACTTGATCTTATTCGTTCCTCATTCTTATAAATTAAAAAGAAAACAAACAATAGTTTAATAACTATAAATAAATATTTTATGATTGCTTTTATCGCTCTTTTTCTCTATAAAAAACAAAAAACACTCCATAAAAACAATTGGCAATCGTTCAGCTATGAATGAAAGTGTAAAATCTATATATATATAAAAGAAAGTCGTGTTAGTTACTTCGCTTATAACTCAAGAACGGCTGAACCGATTTAGCTGAAAATTGTCAGGGAGGTAGTTTAGAGCCAGGAGAAGGACATAGGATACTTTTTATCCCGTTCGAAATTAAAAAAAAGTCTGCTTATTTATTGCCATTAAGGCGGAACAAAGTTCGCCGGGTCAGCTAGTGAAATATAAAACCATTCGTTGTCTACCGTTCATCAAAATTTCGAACAGCGATTCTCACTTGTTTTTGTAGTGTATTTTGTTTTTATTTCGTTTGTGGGAGCAAAAGAGTAGAAAGTAATGGATTCTTGTACAGATGCGAGCACAAAAGTGGCTTTTACGAACGACATAGTAATCATATCAGTGTGCCTACCATGAGTTTACGTTAGGTGTGCTCGCTAGCGACTGCGTAAAAAAATGACATTTAAATGTATGACATATTGTGCAGCGCCCCTAGCGGCTACTTTCAAGAAATAAAATCTTCATAGAATTTTTTGACGTATTCGCTAGCGAGCTCACCTAACGTAAACTCATGGTAGGCACACTGTACATATTGTGCTATTAGATTATGTTATATTACGACAGTCAGTTTCTTGACCATTTTGCTGCGCAATTTTTGTTTTGTTCATAAGTAGGAATATTATTATTTTGTCTCTATCTGCTCGTATATCGAATCAATCAGGTAAGTTAATTGAATTGATTATACTATTAAGTACCTAATAAAAGAAAATAGAGACCCAATAATGAAATCGAATATTGTCGGAGACCCTGAATACTATGACGTAAGTACGTCTCATCTCAATTAAAACCATAATATAGAATCTTTTACTTCACCACATAACAGGACATGTTAGTAAATATGGGATTGAACGTTATTCAAAAGCTTTAGTGATAAAATACCTTATTTCTCTAAATCAAACAGATATCTAAAGATAAAAAATACTATGACTACAATTTAGGTGATCGATCGTGGGGATTCTTGGATGGCTTAAACATGGAGTGCAGGTGCGGTTTTGTTCCCCAGTCGACGAAGCACCTGATGTCGTGCCCTGAGTGCCCAAGCAACTGCACTCAGGAGGATTTGATGAGTACTGCTGAGAACGCCACTTTTGTGGCGGAGTTTTGGGCTGACTCTGTGTAGGTTTGTTGTCGACACGAAAAGAAGAAGAAGAATAAATACTATAAGTTTCTCCCGCCGACTGTACACAACAGCTGCGCATAAAAGTTGGAGGAAAACCGCGATAATATGACGGAGGGCCCACAATGAGGTGTAAAGCTCCAACACCTTTGTTACCAGGTTTCCCGGAGAGCCGGGGATTTCTCTATTTACAAGATTTACGCGCTGAATATACTTCTAAGATATAATGTGATAATTTGCGTGTAAAAGAGTGCACACTTTCTCACTTCTGTCAATTATCTTGTTATCAATAGTTTATTATAAAACTAGCTTTTGCCCGCGGTTTGTGTCTGTCACAGAAAAACTTTATTCCGCGCGTCCCTGCTTCAAAAACCGGGATAAAAACTACCCTATGTCTTTTACCGCGACTCAATCTATCTTTCAAAAAACGCTTCTACACGTCCCATACCACTGCTTCGGGGCAATAATTGGGACAGTGCTGAAAAGAAGCAGCTCAAGAAACTCCGTCACTATTTAACAATTTATTAACATGGTTTCTCTTTTGTTACAGTGACGTCCACCCTTGGCGTAACAATCGGGCGTACAGCTGATTATGACAACATCCCTGAAAGCATGAAGACGAGCAAATTAGCAAATAAACCAAACATCAGAAACATGGAAACCTCTTGGACCAATGTACATAATAGGCTAAGTAGACAACAATTAAGCGATAATGATATTGTACATAAATACGATGAAATTTATAAAGAAAACGAAGATCTTGTTAGTAATAAGCAAGTAAATTTGAAAAGTACAGATGACAAGATGGGTGGTGTGAGAAATTTTGCTGAAACTAAAGTAGGTTATGGTAAGAAGTATGATGGTGCTAGAAAATATTCTAAAGGGAAGAGAAGAGTGAAGAGAGAGGATGATCCATGTGAACCCTTCAGGTTTAGGAACCCTGAACAGCAGCAGATTACGCATCCTCGCAATAAGAACAATACAGACACGTATGCGGGTGGGATGAACTGTAATACTACTATTCAAGGTAAGTTTGATCTTATAGTATCAGTTGTAAGGTCTTCTTTCCTTTCATCTTTTCCTTTAATCCGGATAGCTGATGTTGTTGCTGAAAACTTGTACTAAATTGTATTTTTCATACTACGAATTTCTGAGTAACTTTTTAATATTATCTTACCGCTGCACTTCTCTGCAACGTAACATAATGCACATCTGTTTCCAATATCGCAAATAAAACCCTTATTCTATTTATCCATCTTCACCTTAAAGGCCGGCATCGCATCTGTAACGCCCCTGGGACTGCGGGTGTCTATGGGCGACGGTAATCACTTACCATCAGGTGATCCGTCTGCTCGTTTGCCTCCTGTCACATAAAAAAATACGTTAGAAACCTCCCGTTTTCAGTAAAAAAAAACCCCTCCATCAGTCTTACAGGTTTGATTATGCCATTCAACAGCAATTTTTATTAATTTGCAGGTCCAATAGGAACTGTAATCGAACTAACATTCGTAGACATGTTTCACATAGAGGATCACCCAGACTGCATCTACGATTATTTAGAAGTGAGTATCTTGTAATATTTCATATCCCATATTCCATAGAGCCTGAAGGCAAAAGTTACAGGTGACTAAATTGGTCTATCTAGTACAATTAAACACATTCTCCTTGAAATGCCTACATCGAAGACAAGCTTTAGGAAGTCATGTTTAAAAGCAGGTTTCTCAACATTTTCGATCAGTTAAGATATCTTTATACAGTCGCCAATACTTTAATTAATTCAAATGACAAAGCATTATTTTCAACCGAAAGACGTCCACTGCTTGACAAAGGCCTCCGAAGATTTCCATAGCAAAGAGGTCCTATCCACTTCCAGGTGGTTTTGATTGATTATATTTTTGAAAGATTGGCCTGTACCTACATTATTATTCTATTCTAAAGGAACATGGTGATAATGACCATCATTATTTCGGCTATAGGACGTCCTCTGCTGAACATAGGCCTCACCTAATGATTTCCATAACGGCCGGTTGGTAGCGACCTGCATCCAGCGCTTTTCTTTATGTGGTCAACGGCCCACCTTGTGGGTAGACGTCCTACGCTGCGATTTCACATGACCTCCAGAACCTTGCTGCCCCATTGGCCAATCTAGAAGAACGTTTCAAAATGATCCCAATTGCAGATCCGCGATGGTGCGAAAGGATATTCGAAAGAGATCGAGACACTCTGCGGCCATCAGTTCCCTCGTCAGATCGTGACCACCGGGCCCTTCGCGTGGCTCAAGTTTGTGTCGGATGACACCATCGAGTACGAGGGGTTCAGGATCAATATCGCGTTCAGACAGGAGCCTAAAAGTCGTGAGTATAGTGTCTCATTTTTGTAGGGCTCTTTCCCTGTTTTTAGTAGTTCGTTTGTTCATTCGTTCGTTTCAGCCGAAAAACGTCCACTGCTGGACAAAGGCCTCCCCCAAGGATTTCCACAAAGACCGGTCCTGCGCCGCTCGCATCCAGGCACCTCCCGCGACCTTCACCAGATCCTCGGTCCACCCAGTGGGAGGCCTGCCCACGCTACGTCTTCCGGCTCGTGGTCGCCACTCTTAGTAGTATACGTATTTTAATAGTAACTTTCACACGAACATCCCATTTGCGGTGTCCCAATCCGTTCGAATTTGAAATTATGAGTTCACAGAAAAATTTTAATGCGTTTTAGAAAAGTTGTGCAGAGGAGTTTTTTGTAACCTCTTTCCAATTTAATAACTTTTTATGACCTGTCAAGTCAAAGGTACTGCTGAACTCAAGGTTCCCTCAATGATTTCCAGATCTGTCGATTCTTCATAGATGCGACATAACGAAAAACATAATTATCACATCACTTTTGTTCGCTCACTAAGTTCGCTTAAGGACGTAGCACATTCATCAACCTGAAAAGGGATCATAATCGTATCAACTCGAGGCGTTCAGTATTCTTCGTATGAAACTTCATACTCCAAACGTAGAAACGCCTCGCCTCGCAGTTGACAGCGCGCGAAAGGCGATACGGTGTTGATCGCTTTCCGAGTTGATAAGTCTGCTATGACCCTTATTATTTTCTTACAAGCAAATAAGGATGCTTTTTTAAACTGATGTCTTGTACATTGTTTTGTTCTAGATATAGTCCCAAGTGACTGCTACAACGAACCAATAAAAGGCATGCACGGAGAAATAGGCATTGGTAAAATCAAACCGTCATGTTTAGAAGAAAGCAAAGGACAGGCGCTGGACGTGCTATGGACAATAAATACGCCTGAAAATACCAAGGTAAGACCTTAGACACTTACTTAAGAAAGAGTCTATAACTTTCCTCTGGGACGAACTAGACCATCACAGGGTTTTTATTGGCGGTCAAGCTGTAGATCCTGGCTACACAGGAGTTGCAGCGGTGGGAACGAGAGGTGGGAATAGTCCCGTAAAAGAGTCTGTAATGGTCTTTTCTCCAATTACAGATAACTTTAGGAATTTCTGAATTTAGGAACCAAATGACAACGACCGAACTTATTTTATCTTTATTTTCCAGATCTACCTCAATTTCACAAGGTACGAACTTGAATTCCCAAACGAGTGTGAAGAAAACGTCATACAGGTGTTTGGATCAGTATTAGAGTATCACGCTAAGTAAGTCATTATTTTTAACCGACTGTATGCCAACAAACGTATTATGTTTTTCACGATTTAGGTACTTTTCAACTGCTAAATTTTCAGTCTTATTGTGCATTTCTGTTCCATTTCTTAACTTTAAAAAACATCAGCATCAGTTTATAAAAGCCCACTGCTGGAGATGCCTATTTTATCAGTACAGCTACATTTCAATGGAGGCCGTAAAATACTGTCCACTAGACGGACCGAGGGTCTGGTAAAGGGGAAAAGTACCTGTACCAGAAATCCTTGGGGGAAGCCTTTGTTCAACAGTGGACGTTATTTGGCTGACAAAAAAGTACCTACCAAATTGTGGCAAAATAAAGACTCATACAATAGTCTTTGATTGATGATGATGATGATGAAAACTGACTAAACTTTGTCTAGTATTAAGTAACATGTTTGAATTTGTATAATTTTCTTTCAGACTAGCACAATACTGCGGCTCCGTCGCCAACTCCGTTACAAGCTTGGGCAACGAGATGTACATTCGATACTTCGCTTCGTTGACTGCCAGGGCGGCGAAGAAGGGAGGTTTCAACGCCACCTTCACCGCCTTTAGAAGCTTGAATCCTAATAAGGATGGTTCGTATCTCAAGTAGAATAACTGTAGGTCTAGCTCTTAACTAAGTCAGTGTCTGAGATATGGGAATGGCACGGGAGATTTGGAGACGTTAAACGTCAGGGACAGATGCTTCAGATTTGCATAATATATATATAATAATAAATAATAATAACTTTATTGTGTCTTTAACAATGCTCATGGTATCTTCACGAAAAAATTACATTTAATAATAGGAGCTGTATTAAGATAGGGATCATTAACGTCTATACTAGTTACATTTAAACTTTGTGACAGACGCTAATTCTTGCACCAATTTAATTTAACAGTTGTAATTTAGTTGAAAGTGCCAAACACAATTTTAATTAAGTACTATAGCTTTGGTAAATAGGTACCTACTTACATAGTGACATTGTATGTGTAAACAAACAACACCATCCACCAGCACACCTCCAGATATCAGTATGGAGCAGAATCAGCGCAATAAAAAATAGCGCAATATTTTGTTGCAATTTCTTACAAAACTTGCGCACAAAAAGCAAATCTAGTATGAAAATCATCAAACTTCTAATGCTCGTAACTCAGTTCAGACTGAGTTTAGAGGTATACATGCCATAGTAAGTTTGGTTTATTACACTATTTTGTAATCAAAAAACAAAGTTTGGTCGATGGCCGCGCGAAAAAAAAAAGACGCCACTTTCCATACAAAATCTGGCATTGCCATTTACTTGCGGCAACTGCCTAACTCAAAATTGCGCCATGGCGACCAACAAGTTACTTTCACTTCTAAATATCTATTCCTTACTAATTTGACTTTTCATTTTGTTTCATCATGCTCAGTTTATAATTGAGTTGTATGTAAATAGCCCCAACACTCCAGTTAGCATCGTACGCTAACTTCATTGACAAAAAAAATGACGTAGAACTATGAATAAAAATTATTATATTCATTTACCTACCTGAATTTATGAATTCTAGATCAAACAACTTTTGGGATAATACAATCTACGTTGAATTCTTTCAATTTAAGTATTCGAGTCATTCATACTAGAACGAATGAGAGCCAAAATCAAGTTGTTATATTAAAAAATAATGACATTTTCGTGAATAAATTTATATTGTTTCTATAATTTGTAGATAAATGTGACGCAGAAGAGGAATTCGACTGTGAAGACAACACCTGCATAGCAGCCGAGCTACAGTGCGACGACGTCGCCCACTGCAGGCTGAAGACTGATGAGGACAAGGACTTGTGCAAGGTTTGTTGTGCTTTAGAAGCTACAATATCATACGAAGACCTCATGAAGGTAGCAGGAAGGCGCTGGATGCAGACCGCTACCAACCGGCCTTTGTGGAAATCAATGGGGGAGGCTTATGGGCCTAGAAATTCCTCTGCGAAGACAATTCCTGCATAACAGCCGAGCTGCAGTGCGACGACATCGCCCACTGCAGGCTGAAGGCTGATGAGGACAAGGACTTGTGCAAGGTTTGTTGTACTTTAGAAGGTACAATATCCCAATACAATGACTTCGTAAAGGTAGCAGGAAGGCGCTGGATGCGGGCGCTATCAACCGGCCTTTGTGGAAATCAATGGGCCTAGGAATTCGACTGCAAAGACAACACCTGCATAGCAGCCGAGCTGCAGAGCGAAGACATCGCCCACTGCAGGCTGAAGACTGATGAGGACAAGGACTTGTGCAAGGTTCGTCCTAGTTTGATGACCAGCTCGATTATGTGTTGTCCATCATTTCAGCCACAAGATGTCCGCTGCTTAACATAGGCCTTCGCCAATGATTTCCGTATAGGTAGGCCTGCTGTGCACCCAGCGCCTTATTGCCCTCTGCCTTTAAGAGGTCATCTGTCACATTTGTGATTTCGTCTGCTGCTGGATAAAGACTGGATGGATTAAATCATAGATTTCCACAAGCAGTCTAGCACTGTCCGCAAGCAGGTGCTTCTCGCGACCTTTAAAAATCGTCAGTCCACTGAACGGCAGTAACTACACTAGTTTTCCGGTCCGTAAGCGCCACTCGAGAGCTTTTCTGTCCCAACAGCTATCAGTTCTATGAGCTATGTGCCTCGCTCATTGCCACTTAAGTTTGGCAATATTAACTACATAGAATTGGACAAAGGCCTCTCCCCAATGATTTCCACAGCGATTGGTACAACGCTCACCTCAATCAAGAACAGTAAAATCGATGAAAGAGCAAAATAAAATAAAGTTATTTGAAATCTTGTGACATATTAATGGTAATGTTTTATTATCTTTGTCCACAGTTAGAGACCACTTCCATGATCAGCCAGCCGCACATCATGGTGATCCTGGTCATCTTCTGCCTCATCCTCTCTGGGATGAGTTTCATCTTCCTCTTCAAATGCATACGGAAGCTGTATCAGGACCATAAAATTATTAAGGTAAGTTTTTATTCCAATTCTGTGTGACTATGTAGAGCTCTAGCTCGTGTTTTGTCTTACACAATCAACAAACACATGTCAACATTCAACACAAAACATTGTTTATAGCAATGAAAATTGGTATTTCTATAGATTTCAATGTGCTCTTTACGAATTTCAACTTTGCGACCTCGTATGGTTGCCGCTCGCGCCGCCATATTGGAAAAGTGCTGCCTAGTAGAAACTACTAGAATGCTGTAGTTTCGGATTAATTTTATGACAAAACATGCTTAGAAAAACTAAAACTAGAGAAAATTTCCTATTTTTGATGTCTGCATAAACTTTTTGTAAAATCAATAGTTTAGGCGTAGGAGTTCCGCAAAATATACTTCTATATTAGTTTTTCTATTTTAGGAAAAACGACATTATATTTTATTAAATCATAGTTACCTTAATTGTAAGGTTGTAAAATTACAATTTAGTGAAGCGAACGGTTTACTTTCTTAGCAAAAAAGTAGTTTTTGAAGATAATACAATATGGCGGTTCTTTTAACGAATAAAATAAGTACATTGTTCGTGCTAGATGACTAAATCCGATAAAAGTATTTTCAGAAAGAATACTCCAACGTTTAATTTAACATTCCATGTTGGAAAAAGATTTTCTCGTTCCTTTGTCTTTTTTATATGAATTTGGAGCAGTTTTAATTAAATTTTAACCAAAATTTAGTTTAGAATTTATTTAATTTTGGTATAAAAGATTTATTTTATTTTTATTTTATTTAGGAGATCCACGAAGCTACATCGCAGGTAATAGTTTGCGGCTAAAAAAGCTTATTTTTCTCAGAAAAGATTTCACAATTAGTTTGATACATTCATTTGCCATATTAATAAATATTTACCAGAAACATCAGTACTAGTCATTCATAAAACATGCAGCTAAATACATTACACTGATTAAAAATTAAACGCCCGTATTTACAAACATAGCTATAAGGTCTCACAGTGCGCGTGGACGCACAGGGTGACACACGAACCAATCACAAAGCTCTATTCAACGCTGTTCGTTCGATTTGCTGCTTCACTTAAGTAAGCATCATTTGTGAATACGGGCAAATTAAGAAATCGTTTAGGGACCTACATGTTACATTACAAGCAAATCAATGACTATCAACGCTGTGTGTGCTTATGTGTGTCACTAACCATAAGGCAGGAGTCATTTAGTGCCTGAATGGCAAATGACCTAGTCTAAACTACACCTTGCTAAGTTAATAGTTCACATTTCCTAAATTAACTCCCTGACGTGATATTAATGGCATAAAGCTCAAATTATAAATAACTTGAATAAATCGAACTGCCTAATGCGGAAACTGAACCCACGACCTTTCGTTTGCTAGATGAACCAGTCGTTCATCCAGTGTCTAAGTAGTTCAGATGGAAGAGCATTCGCCCGGCAAGCGAAAGGTCGTGGGTTCAATCCGCCTTAGGCAGTTCGATTTTTTCGGGTTATTTATTTAAAATTCAGTTTGAGAAACGACTCTATAATTATGCTTAGAAATTTTAATAACGGGTGGGATAAGTAATAAGGGTGGAAACGATAGTGATCTCACTGGATTATTTCTAAAATATAAGATATCGAAAAACTGGTTACTGATCCTGAAAGTGCTTCACGAACTCTTTCAAATGGTACCCAATAATAGGTTACAGAATAAACTGGATCTATCCGAAAATTCAATGTTTCTAGCTTCCATACATTTACAGCCATTGGGTAGGTACAGCCACATAGTTTAGATATAATCGAGTGATATCACTGATCGTTTCCACCCCTGTATAAAGCTCAAAATCTGTGAGAATATAATTTTGTAGTAACTTGACTTGCGACAGAACTTCAATTGCTATCAAAACCGTGTGCAGTGTAGAATTTTATTTGAATACCCTGCAATATCAGGGATAATATGCAATATATCGGATTGAGCTTTTTCGCGGTGGCTTGGCTTTGAGTCGGCAGAATCGAGTTTTCACGAAAGTAAAGTTACTTTCGTTAGCGCTTTGAATGCGCTGACATTGCATTTTGGACTGTAAATTACTTCTGTGAAAGACCATTTTGCAGATGGTGATAGAACCAATTCCATTTCATGATTGATAAAGTAACGTTGACACAGCAAAACTCTATATTATCGTCATGACGACAAAGTAAGTGAACCGATTAAGATCAACTGTCTGCTGGATAGACCGACGACCTTACAAAGAAACGCACTGACTCGATGAGAATGCGGGTGGTGCTTTATAGACGGCCATAGGTTTAATTAAATAGCCTAGGAGTACAAAGCTCCTCCAGTCTCCTAAGACTAAATCGTAATAAAAGTAATTAACGCTATTTGGATCAAATATGTAATTGCTCAATAATGAATAATAAATAAATAAATAAATAAATAAAATAAATAATAATTTAATTTCTACAAATAAGCTTTAAAACCCGCTTTTGCATGTCCAAATTCCAATATTACTTTAACCCTACCAATGTATCGGGACCATAAATGAACCAGTGCTGAGAAGAAGCAGCGCAAGAAACTCAGTCACCAGTAAGCTCCGCGTATTCCCCGCAGCATTGATTTCTAACTTTAAGTTGGCCCTTAAGAAGCCTTTACATTGTTTACATGTCTTTAGACTTAGACTTACCTACTCTATTTGTCCCACCAGGAACACATCAGGCAGTCCTGCGAAGACCGACTGGACAGCCTGGTAGGCAGCCGGCTGACCCTCGACGCTAAACGGCTCCAGAGTGACAGCGAACCCCGCGCCAGCTTGGAGAGGGAAAACCACACCAATGAGATGGTGAAGCGGCAGAGAAGCTTCTCAAAACACAAGGTTAGTGTTCATGCTGTAAATGAGACTATTTCCACCTCCAGGTCACCCTTTCCCACTGATTAAGGGCACGTGGTCAGGGTCCAACTATATTTCTTTCCCTTTTGTAGATTAAAAACGGGCTCCTTCATCCTTAAATGTCACCTGTAAGCTACCTTTCTCACCGATTCTGTTCTGTTGGTCGACCGCCATATTGGCGCGCCAGTAAAAATCCAGCCATGAAGTGTTTTGAAAGTGGAATTGGGCATCGACATTAATCAGAATGTTTTGTACAGTCAACAGCACATTCTCTATTACAACGTTAAGACGCCACATCAGTGTTTATATTAATGTACAATAGAATCCACCATTACTTGACTCGCTAAAAACCATAAGAGACGGTAAACGAAAGATGACAATAAAAATACCTACACAGCTATTCTCACAAACACCATGTCAAAAAGTCTTTTTTATTTGGAAACACTGTAGTTTTTCACTGAAGCCTCCATTTAGTTTAGCCAAACGATTTTCCGTCATATTCAATAGACGGCACTAATTGGTGGTTGCAATGAGTGGAACTATACATGCTAGGGTTGCCACTGAAAAAAAAATGTTATAAAATAACATTAAATACAACTATTTGACTTTGACAATCGTATAGTTATGTAATTTTATTTTTGTACTATAAATAAATAACAAACATGATAGTAATTATACTGTGAAATTGATCTGTATAAATTAAACCGTCTGTAGTAATTAAAGCAAACAGCTCAGAAGCCCGAACTAGGGGAACTTTTTGCGCTATTTTGTACTAACGATCGCCAGTAAATTGATTTACCACAAAATTACTGTTTTCCCCAATAGAGATGTCTTTAGTAAATGGCCCAAAATCAATCAAGATTAGATTTTATGCTAGATTTCCTAGCAAATGTACAGAAGAAGGCACATTTAGTTAGACACTATACTTGTGATAAGCCCCAATTTTGCTACTAAAATGTATTATAGTGAGTTTTGTACAGTCTGCGTCAAATAGTTCGCGACATCCAAAGTGGTCAAAAAGTTGACAACCTTATTCCAATTGTAACAAAGACGTGCGGCGAACTTTTTGGCTACTTTGGGTGTCACAAACTATTTGACGCTGACTGTACTGTCGTCTGTTACTTTTGGCAGCCCTGCCCAATGAATTTGGACGACCATTGAAAAAGTGTAATTGGTCGGAAACACGGATTTCTACCCACATCACCTAAAAAGCTTTAGTTTCATTTTCTAACTGTTGGGGATAAAATGAGATTTTATTCAACTTTCGCCACGTTAAAGGTTATAATTAAGAAACTGACTTTTATTTCTTAAATAAGGTCAAAGCTAGTGGCTAAGATGATTCATCATCATCATCATCATTTCAGTCACAGGATGTCCACTGCTAAACATAGGCCTCCCCCAATGACTTCCACATCGCCCGGTTGGTAGCGGCCGTCGGTCGTCGTCGTCGTCGGTCCACCTTGTGGGTGGACGTCCTATGGTGATTCATATTTTTGAAATTTTAGAAGACTTAAACTAAATCCATGGTCTTTAACTCTTAACTTATACATAACTGCGTCCCCAATCGTAATATTTTTAATAATATGAATCTAATACCAACTTACATCATCAGCTATCCTTTCAGCCAAGCAGCATCGACTCGGACTTCATTCCAGACGTCCCCTTAGACCCTGAAGACGAGCCCTGGAGGAGATCAGTAGACCAGGTCCCAGTCATCACTGAGAACGTGCGAATAGAGCACAACGGGAGAACGAGACGGAGCGACACTAGCAAGAAGGAAGAATCCGTGCGCAGGAGTGTAAGAGAGAGCGAGGAGAGCAAAGCTAGGGAAAGGAAAGAGATACGAGATGTTTCTGTTGGGGCACCTGATACGAAGGAATCCGGATGTCAGACGAGGGAGAGTCTGTTCCAGACCGAAACGGCGCCGAGTTCTGACGGTGAGTAATTTAATTTGTTTCGCTATAGAGGGTGTTAGGTAAATGGGTATATGAGCCGACACTAGCCCATGTTAACATATGCATATAAATTGTATGGTGAAGTCAGAAATTGGATATCATCATTTTAATTTTTTAAATGTTCATACAAAATAAAATTTATAAAATCAGATTTGTATGAAAATTTAAATAATTAAAATGATGATATCAATTTTCTGACTTCACCATGCCATTTATATGTATATGTTAACATGGGCTAGTGTCGGCTCATATACCCATTTACCTAACACCCTGTATGAAGGGCGTAATTTTATTACCTTAAAATATTTTTCATTATTCTTCTCAATAACGGGTTTAACGGGACACGTCTAGAATGAAAAAAAAACAGTTTTTGTTAATTTCCTACAACGTCGATTTGTCACATTTTATGTTACACTCCATACAGTGACAAATTGACGCGTAATCATTCACCTGTATGATGAATTGACTTTTACCGTGTGAAATTACAAGAATCGAGTATTCTTCACAGAAAAAAAATAATCATACCATACATATACCTACCATATTATACCGAATGAGGGGTTTCGCAGGTCCAAATGCTGCATGATTGGTTATTTTTGACATGACATTGACAGATATGTCAAAATCCACCAATCACGCAGCAGTCAGACCCCACATCCACGTCCCGCCATCTAGCGGATCTTTCATTCGCGAAAACCCTTATTAAGTATGTAGCCTATAACGTAGCTCACTTATCGACCCGGAAAGGGATCGTAACAGTATCAACGCGAGGCGGTCAGTGTTCTTTGTATTTAACACACTTATCCGGAAAGTAACTTTAAACGCCTCGCCTCGCGGTTGACAGCGCTCATAAGGCGATGACAGCTCGCGAAACGCGATATAGATGACCCACGCTGAACTGTCCCACCAAACTCAATGACAGGGGGCGCTACCATCGCTCAACTATATGGTTTCCAACATGGCAAAAATCGGAACCAGCGATCCGGTATTACATTATATTATTAATACCCGCTGTCAATGTCATGGATAGGACAGTTCAGTATTTTGGAACTATACGGGTTTGATCTCTTTCCGAGTTGATAAGTCTGCTATGAGCTGTGGTAAAATGACAATAACTCCTCAACACACCTATTTGTTTGTTCTTGCGATGCACTTGGATCGTTACAGCGATATGAATACAAAGGAGTCGGCTTGGACACAAAGCCGGTTTTACAGTCAAATGCAACATCAAAGTTATATACTCAGAGGTTCCCAAACATTCGAATTCAAAGTCAAATAATAATAGGTAACATACTGTAGGTAGCACTTAACTCAGTCAGTGCCTGAGGTATGGGAATGTGAGGCATGGGTGTTTTTGAGACGTCAAACCCGGTCCCGGGTTCGATTCCCAGTGGGGGCAGAATTTTCTGTTCGGTTTGGTTGGTGGTAGGGCTTGTTCTAAGTCCGCCTGGCTAGCTACCACCATCTTATCTAAGTCTGTCGCCATAACAACAATATTAACAGCATTATTGTGTTCCGGCAGTTAGAGGTAAGATAGCCAGTTCCTCCGTGGTTGAGGATTCCGGGTGAAGCTCGCTTCCACCTTCGGCCTGATCGTCACTTACCATCAGGTGAGATACAGGCCAAGAGCTTCCTCGTTGTTGATAAAAAAACGTCAGTGTGACTTTAGATTAGAGATGAAACGGATATCCGGTAACTATCCGGTAGGCCGGATATCCGGCCTAAATTTACTGTCCGGCCGGATACCGGATAGTAACTCACTATCCGGCCGGATACCGGATATTAAAAAACTACGACAATTTCCTATTAATAAAATGAAATACATTAAATCTTTGGGGTAAATAAATATCAATAAAATGGCTTATAATAATGACGGCTTTTATTAAAAGTCCAAAAAGTTACAAAAAAGCCATATTAAGGCCTTTCAAAAAACTAATTACTTTTTCTGGGCTATTAATGCTATTATCTCTAATGACGAATACATAAATGGTAAATATCTGTTAATGTCTAAATATTGCCAAATAAATTTTCGCTATTCAATCACACACTCACGATGGCAACCAAAATCGCCCGAATTAATCTGCCCCCTAGACAAGTGGCAAAATCTGACATTCTATTCGGATGAATTCGATTTTCGAAAAGTGACTAGTCTAGTCTACTAATAGACCCACTGATCGCGTTCGAAACACCTGTGCAGNTCTACTAATAGACCCACTGATCGCGTTCGAAACACCTGTGCGGCGCTAAACTCGTCACGACATGCAACGAGACAATGGGCCAACTATCCGGCCGCCGGATATCCGGCTATCCGGCCTAGCAGCTGGCCGGATATCCGGTATCCGGTATCCGGCCAAACAACTATCCGTTTCATCACTACTTTAGATACTTATGCTTCAGATTTGTGTGCTCTGTCACGTCAAATGTCAATGTCACTCTTCTCGTGCCGCTGCCATACCTCAGGCACTGAGTTATGCGCTAGTCCTACACTACATCTCGCTCCTTCGAAAAAATAATAAGTCTAAGAGTAGGCGCACACCGTTGATTTTTAGTTGGCCGATCGTTGTGCCCGATTTTAATTTGTATGAAGAATCGGCCAAATCAAATCGGCGTAGTGTGCGCACTCCCATACATGCCCATACTGATCAACTGCCCGACTAAACTATCGGCCGACGAAAAATGCCTACTCTAAGACCATTGATTTTTTATGTATGGGAGTGCGCACACTACGCCGATTCGATTTCGCCGATTCTTCATACAAATTAAAATCGGGCACAACTATCGGCCAAATAAAAATCAACGGTGTGCGCCTACTCTAAATAAACAAGAATGACCAGGTTATCGTGTAAGAAAATGTCAGTTAATGTAAATAGATTTCATAATAATCGTAATCGAATCTTGATTCGAAATCGACAACCGTCATTTATCAACGAAAGCAATAGGCTAGTTGCCTAAAAAAATTTTTTTAGTCCGTAATGTTTAATATCAAAAAATATTGGACACGTATATTTTTATTTGTCAATCTAACAAATAATTACATAGTTATGGTGCGTTGAAGTTGCGCACGACGTCACAACGTGCGGCATTTTTAAGCAAGCGTTGACGTCACGGGCCTCTTCTTATGAACTTTGGGGCGCTTTATCTCTTTAAATTTTCATTAGTTTGAAAAAGTGAAAAATACGTGTAGAGTATTTTTTGATAAGTTAACTGACGGACTAATTAAAACTCTTGCTTTTTGACCCAGGCAACATCCCCATTAATGCGTGTCCAAGTAAATCAAACACATTATTATAATTATGGTATATGCTAAAATCAACATATTGCACAAATTCATCCAACTAAATACTGACCTTAATCGTTTTAAAACATACAACAACCCCGAAACTTTTGTAAAAACTTTGGCAGCCACTGCTCTACAGCATTACTATTCAAAATTATTATTATGGGTGCAGTTTCGCGAAGATTGTATCTCCAAGAGTTTGTGTATGAAAACTGTTTTTTGTAGAAACATTTATGAATGTTGTGTTGTACGGTGCATTTGAAAGAGAATTATGTTGGTTGCTTTGCATTTGAAATGTTCTGGAAATTTCGTTTTTATTCTGGGAATTCTAGTCTTTGTAGATAAACTCATTTGTTCGCCGTTTTGCCAAAGCTAAAGGCTTCAGATTTTGTATCAAATGGTTTTTATTTCGTGTGGTTGGCTACAACTCTGGGCACAATATATCTGTCAGACTTCCTTAATGATTTTACTCATGTTAGCTCTTTTTTTATGCACATAGGTAAATGGGTACAATTTATTTTTCATTTTTGAGCACTCAGTATAATAATAAGTCTGCGTAACACTGGCCACCAAGAAATCTATAATTTATTTCCACTGCAAAGTTTCAATTTGCTATTCTTTTGTTTTTTCTTTTGCTCCCGTCAATTTTATTTCGCTATTCTCTTGTTTTTCTTTCGCTCTCATTCGATTCTTGACTTTTCTCACGTATTATGTAATAGGGTATTTGACACGACCAATCAATTGGCGTAGTTACTTTTATAAAATTGTCAAAACCATACTCTACCATAGATTTTGTAGGGCAATGACTTCAGTATTTGGCGAACTCAACTGACTGACTTTTTTATCAATTAGAAAGCAACCAAAATAATTCTAAATTTAAGTGTATTTTAAAAGAAATTGTGATTGCTAAATGGTTTCAAATACCCAAATGTAGGTAAAATATTTTTGTCACATTTTTAGATAATTTCCTTTAGGCCCATCGAGCCACTACAAATACTATGGAATTTCTTTATTAGTAAGAATCCTTCGAGTCATCATTAGTTTCAAAGTCCTGCTGCTCATTTCCTACTAAGGTCATAATGCCAAAAGTTCGGTGACATTTGGGTCAGTAGTTCGGGTCCCTAACCGGACTTAAAGGTCCTACGTAAATAGTAGGTAAATATAAAAATATGATAAGTAAATGTAAAAAACGTTATTCAAAATTTTGTTAGAATTAGACGAAAAAAATTACAAAGTCCCATAATTCGGCCGGTTTTCGGGTGGTGCTCAGTACTGCTCAGCCTGAACAAAATTTTCGATGTTAGAAAGAACATATTTTTGCCAATATAATACATAAAGAAACCAAGGTATTTAGTAAGTTACATACTCATTGTTAAAAACGATGGAGTGGACTGTATTATAGTGATAGGCCTGCCGGTGGTGATTATAGGTATGCTACTAGAAGCAAGGAAACTCCAAAAAAGGGCCAAAACAGTAGGTATATTGCAGCTCAAAACATTAACACGAGAGAGTACAAAAGGGCAACTTCAAAAATCTCAATCTAAAACAATATTAAAAAAAGTAAAAAACCATAAACAATTATCAAAAAGGATTGCTGGCCAAACTGCCAGCAACATCCATCATATTAGTATTTACCCACCGCGAGCCTCGAACTAGCTAAACTATAAAATAAATGTTGAATATTCATCACAGGAACTAAGCTAGGCTAGCAAGTCAACCATTTTACATAGTTTCTAAGTAAAGTAATCTTCTTTCTTCTTCTTCTTCTTATATCTTCTTCTTCTTATATCTTCTTCTTCTTATATCTTCTTCTTCTTATACCTTATCTTCTTATAAATAAAAATGAATTGCTGTTCGTTAGTCTCGCTCAAACTCGAGAACGGCGGGTACCAATTTGACTAATTTTTGTCTTGAAATATTTGTGAAAGTTCAGGGAAGGTTTAAACGGTGAAAAAACAGTTCTTATAAAAGAAAAATATAGCGGTACAAAGTTCGCCAGGACAGCTAGTTCATGATATTCTTTTCATATCATCTTTTTTAAGTTCTAAAGCAGCGAAACCCTTGCTACAAAATTACCAACTTGAAATTAATTATTCAAAATACGTAGGACCCTTAACTAACCTTTGTGCATTTCGGTAAAACTTGAGTTTGACACCGGCCCTCGGGTCGAATTGACTTGGAAATTGGCCGAAGTTGTCAACTGAATACCTAACGATTGATATTTATAACATGTGGATGTCTACCATCTTGGGATGGATTCCATTACGGTTCAATTAATCTGAAAATTGGAATCTTGTCAAAGATGGACGTATCAATACATACAACAATGAACAATGATTGATGTGTTTTCTAATGTATGAAATTCTCATGTCACAGTGTTTGTAACAAAACTCTTCTAAAACGGGTTGACCGATTCTTAAATTTTGTGTGTGTACTCAATATCTGACAATATTCAATTATTATCTGGCTGAACTAAATTGTATGCAAGCTAGGAAACATTGAATTTTCAGATAGATCCAGTTTATTCTGTAACCTGTATCTGTATTATTGATACCGTTGGATTGAACTCGTGAAACACTTTCAAGATCAATAACCAATTTTTAGATATCTTGTTTACTTTAGAAATAGTCGAGTGAGATCACTTATCGTTTCCATCCTATATGGTTAGTTAGTGTACTGCTAACACAAGCATTTACGAGTATATTTACCTTAGAAATAATATTCCCGTTCTAACATTTTGTCCACAAAATAATGTCTATTAGGGTGGATTCGACCAAACAAGAGTAAATTTATGAATCTCAGGATAAATCGTCAGTTACTCGACATTTTGAATATTTCGAATTTTGAAGCTGTCAATGTGCCAGTTAGTTATACCAGGAGTTATTCTCGGATAAAAGTTTGGTCGAATCGCCTTAATAATCTAACTACCCCCAGGTTCAGGCAGCAACGGCCCCGGGTTCTCCACCTTCGGCTACTCCGGCGCAACCATCGCCAGGCCCTCGCCTCCGCAGACAAATACCTCGGAGATCACCATCGAGCTGCTCAGCCAAGTGCCTCCGCACCAACCTTCGAAGTCTCGTAAGTTTATCAGTCTACATTATCTTTTTATTGAGCGGTTCTTCTCCTTCTTTGTCGCTACACCAGTTGCCAGAGTGGTCGAAGTCGTCACATCAGAGGGCCTAGTGTGAGTTTACATCAAACGCGCTCACTAGTCACAGGTCGGGTGACAAGCCTTACAATGCGTCGCCATTCCTCCCGCATTGCAGCCTTTCTTGTGCACTCGTGGAGTGGACCATTGAGTGCAGTTTTGACCTGGTCAGTCCAGCGCACGGGCGACCTGCCGCACGCTCTTGTGCCCTCAACCTTCCCCTGCACGACAAATCGTTCAACAGAAGCGTCGCTTCGCTCCGGTGTATTTGTGTTTAGTTAGGTACTTAGCTCCGTGAAGCGATGTTTTTAGTTAAGTTAGATTTTTTGTCATGTGCAATGCAGTGTCCTTACTTGTTTATTATAATAAAATAAATAAATCTCGAAGTTGAATCTGTTACATGTGTTACTTTGTCTAAAGAGATTTGCGCTGCTTTTTTAACTTAAAACCGTTTCAAACCAAAATAACAAACCACTACTAAATATCAAAATGCTGTAACTACTCGTATTTGATTCAATTCGCATTCATCCCATTACTAATTATGAAAGTTTTAATTGAATTTAACTTTAACCCTCAAACGCAACCACTTTGTGTATGACAAGTTGCTAATTAAACTGCGGTTTTGTATGAAAATATTTTTTGAAATAAAGCAATGCAATTATAGCATTTAAACAGAATAGACTAAGAGTTAGTGAACGCCAGACCTACTTCATTTTATAAAAGCTGAAAGTTTGTCAGCGTCTATGCTTCAAATATAGGATAGAATGTTGGTGAATCATGAAGTTTGGGTCATCGTGGCTTTGGCAAACTGTCCTAAAAAAACTGGCAAGGAGTTGGAACTGTAAAAACTGTCTGGCTGACGAGGAAACTACTTCTAACTATTGCCCTAATATTTCTATAAAAATCAGCTTTTATGGTATAGCGTAAGTTAGTTACGGTTAAAGTAAGATACAACTCAGACTAACTCTGACACTTTGTTACAGATAAGAAAATGTCTGACCGTCGCCCGATGAGCGCGGAGACGACTCGGTCCGCCCCTGACGTCATCATAGTCTCCAAACCGATTCGCTGAGGGTGACCTTTGGGGCCCCCTCCGTGGGCCCCAACCCCCCCTGAGTCGTGGGCCTTTGAGCCTCTCCGGGAGGCACGGACCTGCCCTGAGGGGTCCCACACGCCCCACTACTGTCTCGAACATTTCTCCCGGAGCATGACGTTTGACAGTGACGGCTACTACAGCCAATACTTCAACGAAGGACCAAAGTTAATCTACGATTATTGCTTGAAAAGTGATCTTAGTTGTAAGAAATCCAAAACACTGCCAAGGAATCTTGGTTCCTCTGTAGACTTTAAGCCTAAAGTGTATCCGCAGAGAAGTGTGTGCTTTTATGGTGTGGACGACTCGCCGTGCAAGAAACATGGCAACACTTACGTAGTGACAGCTGACATAGAACCGCACAGATAACATAAGTGCAAACTAGATGTTGACATTTTAAAATTTTAGAAGTGTTGTGATAATTAAAAATTAAAATGTTCCAAAGATACTTTTAAAACTTTGAGTGTAAAAAGGTTTGTTAATACGATGTATTACATCGAATAGTTGTTATAGTTTATTTATTTGAAGTTTATACTAACTCGATTGTTTTTACAGCTGTCAAAGACTTTGTTTGTGAATTGGACATTACGAGTAAAGCTCATAGCACACTTATCGACTCGGAAAGGGATCAACACCGTATCGCCTTTCGCGGGCTGTCATTGCCTTTCGCGCGCGAGGCGAGGCGTTTACGTTACGGTGCGGATAAGTATGGAGTTTCATACAAAGAAAACTGACCGCCTCGAGTTGTTACGGTTACGTTCCCTTTCCAGGTTGATAAATGTGCTACATCCTTTAAGACTCTGTCTCACGTCTTTTTCAGGAACTTACAATTTTAATGCTTGCTTTAGCAGCGTATTTTTAAGCAATTATATAGATTGTTATAGTTTTTGTGAAGTTAAACTTATAAATTACTGATAATAATTAAAAATCAAACGCACATTCATCTGAATTGAAACCATTTTAAATAGTGTGCATTTACGTGGTTTGTTGTATTGTTTATTCTAAAATAAACATTGTAACGAGTCTTCCGTGTTAAAATATCAGTTTGTTTGTATAATCATCTTCAAAATCATGTATAGGTATACATACATATAAACTAAAACAATAATTACCAATGGTAATGTTAAAATCTGCTTTAGAATTTAACAAAGTCCCGTTTCTGTTGTTGAATTTAATGAAAGCGTATGGTTAATAATTTATAGAATTCCAAATTGTTTGGATAACGTTTGAATAATTCAACATCGTTGTTAGTAAAACATGCGGTCGCAATACTCGTAATAGTCGAAAGTAGTGTTGGGACAAAGTCGCCATGGATTTTATCGATACTGTTACTTCGATATCGGCCTCTACAGAAAAAACTTTTCCTCAAGATTTGTTTCTTTAAATCAGGCGATGAGAGTGTGACAGTTACAAAAATGCGTTTTTTATGTGAAAATAAAAAAATAATCTAACAGATAACGTGAATCGTATGAATGCAATGTTTTATTTTCTTTTTATTCCGTTTTATTAGTGCGGTAACAAGAAAAGTATTCATGCTCTATCGATAACAAAACTATCGACTGGGGACATCATCAGAGTGAGTAATTAGTACCTAAAACAGTACACACCATTTAACAAGACCAAATTAATCTAATCAAATACGTACATTTGCATCTGTGGATAAACTGCTGCTTTGTATAGAAAATTCATTTAGGAAAATGTTCTGTTTTCAGTACATAAAGGACTTAATTGTATTTTCATTTCGATTGTTTTGCGTATATGTATTAAAATAACGGTGGTAGAATAAAGTTAAATACTTAAATAAAAAATATTTTAATTGGTTCCTAAACTGAAAACTCTTGCTAATTCGCACGAAACACGAATTTAAAACAACCAAAAAACATAATTAACTATACTGATATAATAAGGAAATATAAGCCTAATTAATTATACATCTCCTATTTCGTGTACCTAACAATTAAATAATTATATTATTATCCTCTTACCTAACGATTATTTTATAAATTTCCTATAAACATCTTTAAATTACGAGTCCAAATTACCCCGGAAGTAATATTCCCGATCAAAAATATATTTACGCAATTTTCGCTTTTTACATTAACTTATGGAATTTGTTATATTTTTGCATTAACCTTTAAACAGGTGAACAAAATTTCGGCATTGGTCTAAATTGCCAGCCCTTTGAGCAAGTTCGCAACTGAAATTAAAACTTTTGAAGGTAGGCGCTCACTGAAATGTGCATGTGGATTGAGTGATCCTTGCTTCAATCTTAACAAAAATCGAGGAAGTTTTACTTAAAATATGTTAAAACATTGCGATGAAGTTTAAAAATTTGTTAAACCTAAGATAAAAATGTTATGGCCAATAAATAGGAGCACTCATACCGCACGCTTTAAGAAAACGTCAACATGTTTATTTCAGAAAATAAAGCCTTTCCACTTCTTTTTATAGTATAGAAAAATTGTTAAGAATATGTTAAAACTATTAACAAATTCAGAAATTCCTTGCACGTCCCGTTCCAAAGTTATGACGATTATTTAGGATCACTCACACCGCACACGGGCCGTACGAGTGCTCTTCAAAATAATGACTTTTTATTAATAAATACGTTTTATTTCTGTTGGGAAATGTGTGCAAACTGACGAGCGAATTTGTTAAAGAATAAGTGTGACAAAACTTAAAAGCTGAAGGAAGAAATTAACCTTTATTCTTTCCTCCAATATGCCGTGTGAGTGATCCTTACTTTTACCTCTATCTGCTCATATGTAGTTTAAAAGCTGAAGGAAGAAATTAACCTTTATTCTTTCCTCCAATATGCCGTGTGAGTGATCCTTACTTTTACCTCTATCTGCTCATATGTAGTTCGTAGGCAGACTGAGATAGTATCTAAAATTGTTAATTGTTTTTAACAATTATTTGGCATATATTTTGCTTTTATTAAGGTCATAATTTAAGAAATATCAGGCTTAGATGATTCCTAAAGGAAAATGTTGATTAGGGTACGTATGATTTTTTATTTTGAGAGACTGTTTCGATTCATCAGAAGTTTTCCTAAGGACGTTTTATCAAAAATAATCCTAAAGGAATTATTTGAAAAAATCTGCTACTAGCAGCATTTTTTCAATTTGGTGGCGCCCGCGGAGACAATAGGAGGTCGCAAAGTTGAAATTCGTAAAGAGCACATCGAAATCTATACATTTCTAGATGCCTGCCGTGTGTAACCTGTACTTATAAACCTACATCCTTAATTTTATATGCAGCCTTTCTACATTGTTTATCATGCCATATAGCATGACATAAAGAAAATTACATCAAAAACATAAAAAGTCATGAAAGTCTAACATGAAATTTGTTTTATTCATTTACATGTGAGATTTAATAATATTATTTTATCGTATTTTATAGTCCAATCATCGACGACGAATCGGAACAGTCTCACAAAATAAAAAATCATATGTACCCAATGATATTATAGAACTATAGATATGTTACGTTCATAGAAATTACGATTTTAATCCGTGCCGAGCTATTCCAAATTGCACACATTGACAAATGTAAACTGATAAGTGAAACAAAAGATACGAAATAGCACGCAAATGAAAGAGATAGCTATAGTTTTAACGATTCTGCACTAACTAATCTATGTCCGCAGCGCACGCATCCTTATTAGAGATGGGTAGTGGGTAAAAACCCATTTCACCCGATTGGGTTTAAACTGGGTGATTTGGGTAAAAACCCGGTTTTTTCCCATTATCACCCATTCTGGTGGGTGAAAACAAAAATAGCGTTTTTTTAAAGTGAGAAGTGGTATTTGTTGCTAAGGGGGCGTTCTAGTGTTACGTAATGCAATCTGGGGGGAGAGGAGGTCTTGAAAAACGTTACAATGCGTTACAGTGGCGGAAGGGCGGTCGATTTCAAGTTTTTAAGCAGAAGTACTTTGTAGTTGGTGTTCTTATTTGTAACTTTATACCGTAATGTCATCAAAGAGAGAGATTGGCATCTTTGGCATCCCCCCCTCCATGTCCTTGCTATAATCACAAATTATTGTGTTCCTACTAAATTTCTTTTAAATCGGTTCAACGATTCTTGAAATAACACCATTTTATAAAATAATTGGTCATATCATCATAACGTGATCAATTTTACGATTTGGCCACGATATAAATGCATATTAGTGTTAAATTTGACTTATTACTTATTAATCAATAAACTTAAATGAGAAAAATTCAATAAAAATAAAGAAAAGATACCAATTGAAATAATTATAACATTATTTGTTTTCACCCGGTGTAAACACCCACGGGTGGAATGAAACGGGTTTTTATTGGGTTTTTACCCTCATGTGGGTTTTTACCCGGGTGGAAACCCATCTCTACTTCCTTCAGCTTTTAAGTTTTGTCACACTTATTCTTTAACAAATTCGCTCGTCAGTTTGCACACATTTCCCAACAGAAATAAAACGTATTTATTAATAAAAAGTCATTATTTTGAAGAGCACTCGTACGGCCCGTGTGCGGTGTGAGTGATCCTAAATAATCGTCATAACTTTGGAACGGGACGTGCAAGGAATTTCTGAATTTGTTAATAGTTTTAACATATTCTTAACAATTTTTCTATACTATAAAAAGAAGTGGAAAGGCTTTATTTTCTGAAATAAACATGTTGACGTTTTCTTAAAGCGTGCGGTATGAGTGCTCCTATTTATTGGCCATAACATTTTTATCTTAGGTTTAACAAATTTTTAAACTTCATCGCAATGTTTTAACATATTTTAAGTAAAACTTCCTCGATTTTTGTAAAGATTGAAGCAAGGATCACTCAATCCACATGCACATCTCACTGAATCGGGGAAGTAAGGTTGTAAAATAGTGATGGGACTGTGAACACCTGACTCGAGTATTAGTCAGAGTATTAGCATTTTTTAAATATCTAATGTCCTAAGAGCACAAGTGGCGGCTAGTGACGTAACGATGTAATTTGACTGCGGGACTATTCCCACCTCTCGTTCCCACCGCTGCAACTCCTGTGTAGACAGGATCTACAGCCTGACCGCCAATAAAAACCCAATGGTAACTTGACTAAACTCTGATTTTTAATTCGACGGAATTTTGACATTTCAGAAGTGTTGTCAACACTGAAACATTCCCACTAAGAATGGAGAGCATTTTCATAAATTAAAAAATAATCCT